AAGGTCTGATGTTAGAGCTAGTCAATTAAAGCCATTAAGTGCTTGTCTCGTGGTTCTTCTGATGGTAGTGGTTTTGGTCAAACCTAGTACGTAACATAAAGAAAAGAGACAGTTTATACACAGAGCTCCACCATGATCTCTGAAGTCTTCCCTGCTTGGAATTGTTATGGAGAGTGAGGAAGGAAGGACTGGGCTTCCAGATGGTGACATCGCACTGACATTGAAAAATGGTACCCAAACGAGCACACTTTAGTGATTGAACACTGGGAAGGATTGAGAACATCTCCATTAGAAGGACCATAAGGAACTACCTTGGAGAAAATGATGGAAACTATAATCACTGCTCTCTATTTGTCTATGGGAATGGTGGAGGGGGCAGGTGGAGAGAACTTTGTAAATCATATTCACATCATATTGTCCCTGCCAGTATAAGGGGGTGGCACTGTAATCATTTCCCCAGTTCTCTACATGATGGTGTAGATATTTTTTGCTTATTAATTTATTTATCTATTTATTTATTTATCTTTTTGAGACAGGGTCCAGCCTGGCCTTGAACTCACTTTGTAGCTTAGGCTTGCTCCGAACTTGTGGAAATCCTCCTGTGTCAGCCTCCCAAGTCCTGAGATTACAGGCATGTGCCACTATGCCTGGCTGATTTTTGTATCTTTAGCAATAGATTTTCCCTTTCTTTTAAACTCCCTTTAATAAACATTTGATTAGTGACATCACCAATAAATACTCTGAAAAGTAATTCATATGGCCATTTCTGGATTTCCCAGTGTCAATAAAATAGAGAAAAAATTAAAACAGTGACATAAGGACCTTATGCAAATTTATTTTAAAGGCTCCACAAAGAGAGATTTCTTGATGCCAACTCTTTCTTAAGACCTACATAAGTGTTGGCAAAAAATACAGTACATATAAAATTATTTCAGCAAAAGACTCACTTATTGTAACTTTAATAATCCAAATATTTGCTCAGAACAGGCAATATTATAGTAAAGCACACCCTCCCTGCAGTGAGACACATCTCAGTTGTTGAAGCTAACTTAAATATATTAGAAAGAGAAAGTAGAGGAGGAAGTTTTAAAGACAAGCAAAGCATAGGGATTAACAACAGGCAGTCATTTTGTAAGCTATTTTAAAAACAAGTATCTTGCCAATATCCCGCAAACATGCCATGGAAAATATATAACACAACATGATTTCTGCTCTAAATGTGTATCTTTTGATTTCCAAGGTTACAGGTGAATTTTTTCTCAAAAACATTACCTAACATGATATCATGATAGTTGTCTCTGTATCTCTTTCCATTCTGCCATCATCGGGACTTATTGGGAAAGTGATCATTGGGAACTTCCTCCTCTGTACCTTACAGGATGCCCCAGTCTAGCTCGCTACCATCCACAGTTCCCTTGCCCTTCACATTTACCTGAGGTGAGTGTGCACAGTGTTCTAACATTTCTAAGAATGAATACATTGGCTTCTGGCGGAAGGGAGCCAGTGGTCTATTTATAATTGTGATATGGCATGAATGAAGACTTTTACGATATAAATTCAGTGGAACATCCAACAGACAACCAAGATAAAAAAGAAATGGCAATTTTGCTTCTCAAAAAATTTTCTTGCCTTTCTAGAATATCTGTGCAATATAGTTATACATAATCTGGCTCATCTTGGAGGAACCTGAGGAATACTTGGTTAACCCTAGGCCAGTTAGTGGGATACAGAGATTAATTCTGCATGGTTCTGGTTCTTGCATTCCACTGGCTAATGAGATGAAACAAACTTATATGCAGCTAAGTATAGGACATAATATGTGAAGTGACACAATGGTGCTTTTAATGTATGAGGTAGGTCATGTTGCTTCTCTTCTCAAAATTCTTTGTGGGCTCCTCGCTTCATTTTTAGTTAATGACAAGATCTCCACAATGAGCAACTTGGTCTCCCACCACCTTGTAGACTTCCGTACCCGGCCCTTGCCATCCCTGCTATTCTGTCAACCAGCCAAATTGCCCCATAAAGGAGCCACCATGTTTGCCACCATCTTGTCTTGTAGCTCCTTCCTTGTTTATTACATCTTTGCCCCGAAGTCTCCTCCATGATGTCCCATGTCATGCTGGGCCCCATCCTGCCGTTGGAATCTTACTTATACTATTCTGTGTCCATTTCTTTCTTAGAGAATCTACCATCCTCCAATATGTTATGTGATTTAGTTATTCACTGTGCTGATCTTCTGAGCCTCCATTCTTACTGTCTTGAAGACAGGACTTCTGTATATTTTCTCGCCTACTCCGTCTCAACCACAAAGCTTCAGGATGGCATTGGTGGCCACAAGATAAACATCTTGCATGCATCAAAGAATGACTCAGAGTTACAAAAAAGGAACTAGAAGAGCAGCTGCATTTTGAAGGGCTCCTGAGAAGAGCCAGCACTAAGGCAGAGGTTGGCTTGGTGAAGGAGATGGGGTGGACTAATAATCTACACAGCCCACTTAGAGGCTGCCACAGGGAGGTGTAGCTCAGCAGAACCAAAGACAGAGGTGGGTTTGAAAGAATACCCATGAATGGGCTCACGGCGTTTCCTGGGAGGGCCTGCAGGTCTAGCGGAAAGGGTTGTACACTTGCTGTCCTTCAGCCCAGCTTCACAAACTCGTAGTAGAGCTGAGGAGAACGGTGTTTAAAGGTTTTCATGGAAGGAATTGCAAGAGAACTAACGTTTTATGCCAATTTTTGTGACTTGTGGCTTTGCTCTGGTACTGGTACGAGGGAATGATGCAGGCTCTGTGTGCCTTGCTAGTGCTTTGCATAGAACCTGCAACGCACATTCAATAAACAGTATGCTGGGTCAACAAGAGCTTGTCAAAAAATGAAATTAGAATCTTGAACATTCATGATACTTATGTGAAATTATATTCGGACATGATTTGTGAGCCAGATAGAAAACCATTGCCTTACTTAAAACTACATGTCTTTTAAGCACCAACAACATCAAAATGAAGTATTTTTGTGTTGGTTGACTACTGACCTTCTTTAATTAGTTTGGCATCTGTCAGTCACAACTGGAACTTTACTAGCTTTGCAGCACTTTGTAACTACAGGATATGCTAAATATTAATCTGGCTTTGAAGGAAACACTTAACAGCATTCAGAATACTGAAATGAATGTATCATAGGCTTTGAAAAACCACTCCAAGGTCAGAAGAGCAGAGATGCTGCTAACATGGATGTGGCCTTCCTTCTTCCAAGGGTATAACCAGTGAAAATGTTGGTTAACCTCTTCAACATTTCTCTAGGATTCCTTTAAAGTCACTGGTCCTGTAGGATGTACAATAACATATGCTTTGCATACTGCAGCACGCAGCTGAAGTAAACCAGGGTACAAATAACAACTGCTAAACTACATGAATAGGAGCTCAGATAGCCAGCAACACTCTCTATTGTGCTAGTTGACTGCATTAGAACAGCATTTCACCTCTTGGTGTGGGCGTTTGGACTGGCTCATCCTACACTTATGCTAGGTGAGTCTTCCAACAAACTTTGCCTCAAACTCAAGTTCTGACCCTCAGCACGCACATTTATTGATGCCTTAAAACTATATCGCTAATGACAGGAAATACACATCTTGGATATTTTTACAACTTGAGACTTTCCGATTAAACTTTAAAGCAGAATTTTAATGTGAGGTGAAGAGACAAGCCCCTTATTTCACAGAGGGATGTTGTTTTCCTATAGCTCAGCATCAAAAGGTAAAGTTATGAAGCAACCCATGAACAAGGGTGTTGTTTGAATAAGGCAGTCATTTCTGCAAGTATTGCTAAGATGATCATTTAATCATTGAAATGCAATGAAAACTTTTAGTGTACCCTTCACTAAGGTTTGTGTCACATATCTGAATGTGGTGTGGTGGCAGCTCTAGGCCACTGAGACTTTCTCTGTCGCTTACCACTCTGCAAACATTTTCTGGGGCCATGGATTCTGCTAGGTGCTGTAGATGCAAAGATGAAAAGGTCTCATCCTCAGCAGCCTGTGATTGCATTGTAAATAGAAAGAAAGTAGGGACAGATACAGAGCAGGGGTTACTGGAGCCAGCGGTGGCAGTGAGGTGTCGAGGGTGACTGGCAAAGGGAGTGCCCATGAAAGCACAAGAAGTGAAACTAAGGTCATCAGCATGCAAGGGTGGCTTGTGGATTGTGAGAAACAAAAGCACAGAGATTTAAAAAACGCCTTATGCCACCAAAAAGAAGTTTAAATCTCATTGAACACAATAACTCTCCAATATATTAACTCTAGTAGATTGATTAACTATATTTTGTACCAACCATTAAAAACAAAATATGAGGCACCTATATGGTGCAACATTTACATCTGTCTTGAAATGATTTCCAGGTTAACACTGGCTCCTTTTCATCCGAGTTAATTTCAACTGCAGATAATAAATGTGCAGGGAAACTCTAAGAACAAACTCATGCGTTAAGAAATAATTAAGGACACATTTCAAAATCAGAGCTGACAAAGTGTAACTATTCCTAAAGGGTCACAATTATCTGCGGAATCGTTCTATACACCTGATTACACATTTATACTATTTCCTTGATAGGATTAACCCCAAAGAATAAATGCATGCTTTTGTCTGAGGAAAAAATAATACATACTACTTTTCCTAGGTACACACAGCAACTCAGAAGGGATGTCACACTTACATCACATATAGACACAGATATAGTAATAGATGCCCATTTGCATATTCACACCCCTAAATATATCCAGTGTATATAGCATGAGCCACTGACACTTTCCTGAAGAAAATGTATTTCACATTCAGTGTTACTCCACAATCGCCTTTTGGCATTCCTGCTCCTCATTCACAGCTCCAGGGCGCTCTTCCGTAAGTGGTGGGCCATGCCTACAGAAGGGCAGGCTATGTCTCTCACCACCGCCCTGGCTTCCCCTGTCCCTGTCCCTCGGACCCCATGGACACAGCGCAGCGAGGGCACGTACCTGGCTGAAGCTCTGGCTGGAAGCCCGGGCTTGAGCGCTGCGGGCTGGGAGCTGCGAAGGGGCTGTATCACCCAGGGCCAAAGTCTGGTTGCTATGGTAGCTGGCCGGATACTGGAAAGACCCTTCAGGTTTGGAATTGAGCTGAAGTGCACTCTGGGAGAGCAGGCTGGGCCCTGCATTGAAAGTCATTTAGAGCAGTCAGTGACAGTCTCAGTGAAGCAGAAATGACATGTATTATTTATTGAGAGTAGCCTAGAATTATCACATGCACATGATTCTAGCCATCTCTGCTTTGAATTCTGAGAACTAAAATGACCATATAATTTGTCTGCAGTTCTCAAGTAAGATATTTTTTTGGCAGTTTAAAAGTTCTCAAAGGAGTAGATTTTTCAAATGATCTCATCCTGACCTACATAGAGACATTTCTTAGGAGAAAAATTAGTTAATCAAGTAGTTATTTTTGGATCAGACAGCATCAGAAACATATGAATTAATGTAAAAGTCTACTTTTTTGATACATGTTAATTGTGTTAATATAATTATATCTCTCACCAAGCAATCGGATGCTAAAATACTCAAAATGTTCCAATCGGTGACAAATGCTATCATATAGTGATGTGAGACCCCAGTGCAGGAGCGTAGACAGGGCTTAAACTATTAATAGCTCTTTGTACAATGTAGAATTCACCCTGCTCTCACATACTCTCTGATGAATAGTTATCTCTGCTGTCGCAGCAAGGCTCAGTAGGAGAACAAAGAGAAGGTATGGTGTCAAAATTGCTGCTGCTAATGTGGTTGATGTGGAAGCGCTTATCATTTAATTATAATTTGCATATGAAGTTGTATTTTATTTTCTTATGTTCTACTTAGATGGGTGCATCCTTTTAAAGTTTGTCCATTTTCTTTTCAGGCACATTTTACAAACTGATGCTTAATATTCACTTTGAGGATTAAAAGGAATTCAGTGGAGTGTAAATATACTTGCTGGTTCTGTTGTATATATCTGAGGTGAGTGAAGTAAGAAGAGTGTGTTAGGGGACAAAAATTCAACAGTGTTAAGATTTCTTACGTTTCCTTGTACCATGGCAAGAGCCACCTCTTTTTCCATGGAAAGTAATATGCACATAAACTATAGTATAACCATGAAATCATCTTATATCTTTTTTGTTTTAGATGATAGTGTTACTGCCAGCCAGTGTGAGCGATTTCATGCTTTTTCTTTTTACGAATAGGACCAGGGTTAATATTTTAAATGGCACCCTAAAAGGCTTAAATATTTTAAAGGACAACAGTGAGTGTGTTCTCCCTTTAGTAACAGCATCGCTTCTCATGATCTTTGCATTTAAGACCTTCCCTTCCCTCTGAGGCTCCGCTGGTCCTTCTAAACAATCTGAAGATCCTTTACGTTTTATCATTGAATATCAAATGATAAGACGTTTAACCAATGAGGGAAGAGTTGCTATTTTGGGAGTAACAAATTCTGGAAAAAAAAATTTAAGCAAGGGTATAAAAGTGTTTTCATCCAGCCCCAACTTCATCATGAAGGGCACAATGCAAGAGCAGTTGTAATTCTTTTCCTTTCAATTTAAAACATATACTCCCGGGGCTGGGGATTTAGCTCAGCGGCAAAAGTGCCTGCCTGGCAAGCGCAAGGTCGTGAGTTCGGTTCCTGGTACCAGAGAAAAACCAAAAACAAACAAACAAAAAAAAAAAAATAAAAAAATAAAACATATACTCCCAAGAAAACAGTATGTACCAGACGGTTAAGTCTCCATTAACCTGCACAAATCACTGAATCCATACTGATGGCTTCACAGGCCCAATCAGCAGACATATGATGCCTCTGTGGAGAGATGCATTAGGAGTTTCCCTCACATGTCAGGAGTGGGCAGGGTCAAGGGTACTCTATGGCTCAGGCAATGGGAAGGTTGAGATACAGAAAAGACTTGGAAGATAGAGAAGGAGACTCCATGGGGGTGGTGGCACATGGGGACTAACTGAAGTGGGGAAGGAGGGAGAAGAGGAGGAGGAGGAGGAGGAGGAGCAGGGAGAGGAAGGCACTGGGAGGGCAATGATGATGAAGCTCACAGCTTAATAGAGGAGACTGAGCTGTAGCAGAATAGTAAAGGCCCTTTCAGGTTAGTGGTCACCATCCTACCTGAGAATGGTGGGTTCCCACTGTGGTTTGCTTTGGCTCTCGGCTCTTTCCTTCATGACCATCCTCCTGGACACACTGCCCTGCACTGACCACAGCCTCCCTGGGACAATGCCCCTTGAGGGCCACTAAGGTTATAGCTGATGCCACGACAGTGCAAAGGCTTTGGAACTGCCGAAACAGTGATGTCAAAGGCAAACTTTAATTTCTAGTAGTTTAACAGACTCTATAAAGAGTTGTGTGCCTTTATTTGCCTAGTTACTGGTCTTTCCAAGAGATTATGTGAGTTTGTTCTCATGGACTTTCTTGAGTATGTACTTAGCAAGCACAGTAACCTTGTGGATGTTGGAAAGACTCAGACAGCTACCACGTCTTCTGAAGCCTACAGGTGGTGTTTGTGCAGGATTTTAAGGTGACAGTGTAAAGTCATGTTTCAGAAGAATTTCAGTTAAAAAATGGCTTATCTGCTCCTGAAAAAAAACGATGGCATAAACAAATCTGCTCATCTTTTATAGAATCAGTTATATATTTGATCAATACTCCGTGAAAACAAGCCAACATCGCCTGTCTCATTACCGCGCTCATGCAGCTCAGGCGCTGAAATCTAGATGTACTCTGACAAAGGTAATTGCCACAAGGGCAACAAATCATCATCTCACAACCCCGGCTTTTCACCTGGCAAGGACACAGGCGTCAGGAAAATAGCCAAAGCCCTGTATGCATTTTAGAGTGATTTTCTCCACTGCTCACTTGGTTTCAAATCAACACCATTTATTCATTCAATTTTGGAGGCTTGAAAATATGAAAAAGGTTACAATTATAGGACATTTCTTAATTACTTTACAATGGAACCAGAATCGTGCATATAACTAATTCTCCATTCATTTTATTAACATTACTGTGCACTGAAGTAGAAAGTACAAATTTGCCAAAGATTAAAAAAATTTTTATAGTTTTTGTGCTTTAAATTATATGTACATATCTTTTCTTCAGAACTTTTGACTTTACCACAAGCCTAGAGGTAGAACTGGGCTTCCATCCTGAGGACATGCACCAGCTGAGCTGGAAGATGGGCCATGCTCGGGGAAGAGAAAGAGGTCGGCCCTAACATTCCACTGAGGGGAAGGGAATTAATTGCTCCAGAAGAAATATGAACGAGGAGAGACGGTAGATGTCCTTGTTGTCACACTTTGTTGACCTTGCTGGGTGTCCCCCATCATGGGAGAGACTTCAGATCTGATCCAGGTTCTCAAAAGGTTTCACCTGTTCCGGCCAGGGAGAGGAGGGTCAACCAGTTCCACAGAGGGATCATGCTTGGGGTAGTCTTTGGTCCTTGGTCAGATCAAAATCCCATAGGTCCCATTGGCCATGGGAAAAACTCCAAAGAAACTACATGATTGATCCTATTAATGCTATGAAGACATATGCAGCAATGATTCTGAGTACAGCGCCAATGTCTTAATTGGTTTTCAAATATATGAATTGATTAGAGACTGCATAGCAACTTGTGGAAACAACTGGACTTGTATCTTTTGCATTATTCCTAAAAGTGTAACTAGAGGAATACAGAGGATAAAGTAACAGCTAGTGTCACACACCTGGTAATCTGAGGATGAGACATTCAGATCTTTGCCTTCTGTCTCCAAGTCAAGGAGTTGCTACTATTGTTTAACCTCAAGGGACTATTTAAGTCATAACTAAATACATATCAACACTTTGAGTTTCAAAAAGTCTTCCTTACGTAGAGATCCCTTTGCTTGCAACAAAAATATGCATGCCTTCAACTGCTGCTTAGACACCCCAGCTGTGGACTGGGGGAAGCTTGCTCTCCAGTACTAGAAGACCAGATGCTCATTACAAAATTCGGAGCCACTTGTAGGACACACTGACATAGATGCTGCACGATTTCTTCTGATTCAGTGAAGCAGGTGTTTTAGTTTCCATGGCCATGTGCACTTGTTCTGTTTGCACAGATTTAAAGAGACCTTACCTGGAACTGATAATTCTCCCCTACTTTAGCTGAACATCTGTCCCAGCACATAGGCAACCTTAATTAAATTACATATTACATAACAGTATAGAAAAGGCCAGAGTGCTCCAGGGTGGCCTTCCTAAGCTGTTCATTAAATCACACTCATGTTAATAGAATAACAGTGTGTGTGTGTTAGAAAAAGAGAAAACAACCAGGACTAGAAGTTAGCAGATCTGGATCCTAGTCTTCCCTTAGGTTTATGTAGCCACGGACGACGATGATAATGGTAACATTAGTAACAGCAGTCCTTTCTCTCTCTTTCTCTTCCTTCCTTTCTTTCTTTCTTCTTCCTCTTTTTTCTTTTCTTTTTCTTTCTCTTTCTCTTTTTCTTTCTCTTTTTCTTTTTCTTTTTCTTTCTTTCTTTCTTTCTTTCTTTCTTTCTTTCTTTCTTTCTTTCTTTCTTTCCTTTCCCTTCCTTCCTTCCTTCCTTCCTTCCTTCCTTCCTTCCTTCCTTCCTTCCTTCCTTCCTTTTCTTTCTCTTTGGGGTATTGGGGATGGAACCCAGGTCTTTTGCACCAAGCTATACCCATCCCCTTTTAATTTTTTAACTGAGACAGGGTTTTGGTAAGTCCCTAAATTTCTCAAGCTGGGTGCAAACTTGCAATCCTCCTGTTTCAGCCTCCCTGACTGCTGGGATCACAGGCATGCACCACTGTGCTGCCTCCAGCACTCCCATACTGAGTCCTATTCAGTTCCAGGGACTGTCCTGAGCAGCTGACAGTAACCTAATTGATGATATCACAGTGAGGAAGGTGCTGTCATTCTCTTCTGCTGTCGAGGGAACTCAGGGTCTCACCAGCTGACTCTGGTCTCATATTGTCAGTGTGGGCCTGGGATTCTGGCACTGCAGTCGAACTTGAGAGTGAATGTCCTTCACCACCCTTTCCGTTATCCTGTCTCTGAGCATCGTAGATTCTCCAAATTTGAACACATAAATGCGATAATGGCTGTGAAAGTGTCTGGAAAAATATAAACTGCCAAATGAA